GGGTGGACTGTCATGTGCTCGTTGTAGCAATGAGTGTCAAGGTGTCTACATCAAAAGACGAAATATCTGGGGCCATGCTTTAAGCCGCCATGTCCGGACAGGATAGAAAATAGAAGGCCCGATGGATGCCGACATATTGGCCTTTCAGCTGGTAAAAAAGCAAAGTGGGTCGCTCAAAATGACCCCCCCCAATTCTAACTGAACCCTAAACCTAATCCCGAAAAGAAGTTCACTCTTCCCCGTGAAGTTGAAGCTGGCAATGGGAGTCAGAGAGATGCTCCGAGCTGCAGAATTGGAGATCCCTTCTTCGTTTTCCCCAAAAGGATTCGTTCCATCGATGATCGGGAGAGACCTCTATGTGGGGCCTGAAGTTTGCCTTGACATCTGAGATGAAATCCCTAATACTTCCCCTTAGTAGGTTCCATCTTCTTTTCCATTTTCCCTATATATAACTTCAAGATATACCCTATAGTATACCAGTCTTTACAGGGCTCTTTTGGGCTTCCTTTGTCTGTTGGAAAGGGAATCGCGTCACAGCCATTCAAAGTCACGGCGGCTTGGTGATCTTGATCACGACTTGAAGCGTCCGCCTTGAATTCTAAATGCCTGAGGGTCCACCGAATTCAAAGACTCATTCCAAAACCCTGGAGCCCGATGCCAAACCAGAAGCCCAGATCTTTGCAGACTCTCGGGTTTACGGTTTAGGGGCTCAGATTTGAATTAAGCGCGTGCCTATAGAAACTGGACTTCCCTAAGACCAGCTTTGTCCTTTGCCTTTCATCCAGGAATCCCATGGCGTGTAGCTGATACGGCTTGTGCGGTTGAGGGGTAAAATCCCGCGCGACTCCTACACCTAAACCGTTGGAATGGTGGTAGTATAAGTCTACTGTATACCAGCGTCTAGTCCTCCTAGTACTAGAGCAAGCTATGACTCCAGACTTTTTCTGGAGATAAGCTGCTACGTGAGATTCATGCAACTAGAGGTTCCAAGTACTTAAATATTGTGGATAAAGGTTCCGATTGCTATTTTGTTAACGGTTTCGGTTGCCTAACTTGACATTTGGGTACTTGGAAACTGAGCGACCCTTATAATTTCGCGCCCTAAAACGTCAAACTTAGGGACTGGGATATATGGGGATCTTATTATAATATACCCAAAGCCATATTCAATCTACCTGAGAAGGACTATTACCCTTAACCTTAGGGACAGGATGTTGTCCTTCAACAGTATGAGGCGAATCTCGAGCTGGAGATTCTGAAGGCTCAAATCGGCGCTTTGGCGGCAACTAGGGTTTCGGGGCTAGGGCTTGAGCTTTTACGGGTCAAGCGGTTCAGGCCTTAAACCCTAAACCCTGATTTTTTGGTTAAGGCCTTAGGGTTACAAATCCCAGTGAGAAAAAGCTTGAAAATTGAATCCTAGATTTAGTGCTTATGGGGTTGACTGTTGAGGGCCTGGGGGCGCAAGAGTTGCAACACAAGTGATAACTTCACGGAATTCTGAAGTGGCACTTCGACTCGAGGTTAGATGGTTTTCGGGAATCAGCACATTCAGGAAGAAAGCCCTAAGCGCTTCCCTCTAAATGAAGTTTAGGAAGCATGGCCTGAACCAAAGCCCCTGATCGGCTTCCTGGCCTGAGGTTCAGACACTGCAAAACCCAAACTGAAGGACTGCAGAAGGATGGGTTAGTATTGGGTCCCCATCCCTGACAGTCTGCTGAAAAGGATGTGGTGGGCATACTGAAGCTACATTCCAAGAGCATACTTGGCCTTCCTTGGGTGATCTAACCATCAGCAACAGTAAGGCAGTAAGGCTGCAGGATAGTACCCGTCCAACGACCCAAATAATAGGGTCCCTTTAAAGGGGTTATGGGGGGAAATCTGTAGGGATGTATTGGGATTATATAGGGGGATATAGGACCCAAATAATGGGGTGTTAGGGCCCAAATACCATTAATCGTTATAGTATTTGGGCCCTAAAACCCTATTATTCGGGTCCTTGGACCCTCTAGGGTAGAGGGCTCAAGGCTCTGGGTGCTTCGCCAGCTGCAGTCCTTCAAGTGATCGAGCGTGCTAGCTATGACCCCACCCCAGGCAAGCATTACCTAAGACTGTATAAGCTATTGTCTAAATTCCTAGTATCCCCCTTAGTAACCCCCATAATTAATACTCCCCTATATAATCCCGCATGCATCCCCCCCCTTATGGAGTCTAGACTCTGACTCTAGCTCATATATACCCTCCAGTGCCCGACATTCCAAGGATCCTCCAAACTAGCATGGAACTCCAAAGTAGGGGACCCCTGCAAAGACTGCTGTCTACTAGATGGGTTTCCCTGCTAGTTTCGGTTAGGCTTCCTCGATGAAGCCTCAAACCCCCCTTAGAACACCTTCATTAAAAACTGTTATAAGGAGGTCTAGATTGCAGTCGAGGCCTATGGAAGCAAGTAAGTGTATGTCTACAGAGTCAGCTTCCTGGTTTGATGGGGTGAAAGCGCCATCGAAAAGAAAGGCTTATAGCTACAAGTCTCATAGTTCTAGGTATGATACGTGGGTTGCAGAATTCCGGATCCTAGCTGTAAGTTCAGGGGCATGGTATGAGCATGCACGCAGGTGCCTCGGACAAATCAGAGGAGGCCAAGGAGGTCAAGCATGAGGCCCAGGATTTCAGATTTGGGGCTCTTGAGGATGGGTTGCAAGTATTGAAACTTGAGGATAATGCTCTAATTACCCCTAGAAGCCCAGGTACCCATATAGTAGGTCCTTGGGTTATAGATGGTATAAATTTATATAGGGACTGAAGGACAGGAACCCTATATATATATATATATATGTATCTGGGCTTCTAGGGTACCCTTTGGGGGGAATGCCTGACTCCAATACTTTGCCAACGGTAGGCAGAGTCTGGTCAGGGGCTGACTTGGTAGTCCATATTGGATTGTGGCCTGCCGGTGCGGGTGTTTTGTTGTTGAATTAGCAGTGAGCTGATTGACAGGAACATTTTGCCACTCGCCCCTAAACCCCTAAACCCCTAAACCCCTAAACCCTAAAACCATTGAAAAATGCCTGCATCAACACATGTTTGCGTCAGGTTTGTCTCTGCAGGCCTATTGAGCGCGTTGACAATTGCCGTGTGAAACCCTTTTACAGCCTCCAGAATCTCACCATGGATCTCTACAGGGTTTTAGGGTTTAGGGGTCTATAGACCATTCTAACTCCTCTTATGTCACAATAAGCCTTAGACTTTGCATCTCCACACTGATGGAAGCTTGATCTGAAACATTCCATCTTACAATCAAAAGGAAGTCCGTATCTCTCAGAATGAGAGCTTCCATGGAGTTTCTTCTATATAGGATTCTAGGCAAACACACACAAATCTGACAAGAATATCAGCTTCAGTATTCCACAGAGGCATCCTGTGGGTTAGTAGTTTTGGGGGTGTGGGGTTTGCTGCTTTTGTGGTTCGGGGTGGGGATTTTAGGGTTTACAGTAGGGTTTAGGGCTATCTTCCAACAAGAAGCAGCGCTGAGGTTCCATGTACCCAAAGGTTGAAGTTCAAAACTAAGTGAGACTATATAGGATATGTTGGATCCCTAGGCGTTTGGGCTAAGGGATTCTTTCCATTGATCAAGTTCAAAACATGCCCAAGGCAATTATTTCCAAGTACTGCTTGCGGATGATCTTCCTGATGTGACTGCAGGTCTAGAGATATCTACATGGCAGGGTGTTCCGAACAACCGGATTTTTTTGGGGGAGTTCACTGCATGAACGCTTACAGTATATTGAGGGCAAGCAATGTACAGAAACCCACATATTACCCTAAACCCTATTCATAATTCCCTAAGGGTCCAAGTACATAATAATCATATACTTGCCCAAAACCTATACTACAATAACTATTATCCAAAACCCAAGTACCTAATCATTGGGTACATGGACCCTTAGGGATTCATAAGCCCTCAAAACCCAAGCCCATGCCTGGAGGTGGAGACCAAGACGCATGAGATTGTCAAGGCCATCTGTAGAATCAAGCTGGAGGGTCCAAGTACCCAAATAGTGAGGTTCTGCGCCCTAACTACTATAACCTGAGTGGTTGTGGGTACCTGAATATTCGAGCACCTGGATTCATGGGGACATGCCTGGTTCCCCAAAATCAATACAACGTTGCACTCATTTTAGTGAAGAGGCCCTGTTTAATGTGTTGTCGCCGCTTATTCAGGATCTGGCCATTGTTGGGAAGGTCCTGTTTAATGTGTGGTTTGTTTTGGGGCCCTGAAATATGGGAATGAATCCAGGCCATCCCTTTTAAAGTAATCCCAATGGCCTCCTGGGGGCCCTCAGTACCGCGGGAGCTTTATTCAGGACGTCGAATTTCTATTTTTCGGAGCTCGCATTTGTGGGGGGAGGGGAGGGGGGGCGGCCCAAGATTAACGAGGGTCCAACATGACTCGGGCGCCTGGATTCTTGGGGACATGTCTGGTTCCCCGAAACCAATATGCTGGTCCCTGAATTTTGGTTCTCATTGACATATAGGTCAAGATAGAGCTTTCACCCATTTAGGAGGCTCTCCTGTAGACAGTCTCCCACGTGAAGTTGCCATGACGACCACGATAGTAATACTGGCCAAGGTTGCAGCAACAACGCTATTGACTATGCTGACTACTTCTTTGGATCGCTGTCATAGGCAATAATGGCAAGAATCTTTGGATTTGAAGAACCTTCTCATCTAAATGCGGGAGAGGTCCTTCATGGTGAATACTGATCAATACATATGCGGGGCCTGAGGATGTTGGCCCGAACTTTCGGCTGAGCCTTCCAGATGCGCTAGGTTTTGTTTTTGAGGTGCCGCCCAGAGACATGCAATACTAAACCCCTAAACCATAAACCCTAAACCCCGAAAGCTCAAGTTGAGCTGGGCAAAGCTGCAGTCTTCTTTCCGTTGCATCCTCCCCTCATCCAAACCCCAAGGGGAAAGCATCGCAATGAACTCCAGCCTGCGGGTAGGCCCTGCAGACACTGTCAGAGCACCACCGGACGACTTTTCAGCACGTGGCCACACTCACCTCTGACATGCAACTTGGCTGGCTTCAGGCGATTATTTGGGTTGGGTGCCCCGAGCCTCAGAAGACATTCAGATTTAGGGTTTAGGGTTTGATGCTTTCATGTTTAGGGTGACATGTACTCTGAGCCCAGAAGATGTTCAGATTAAGGGTTTTGGAGAGGTGTGGGGTTCAAAGACTCACCATTTAAGGTTCTGGATTCAGGCCATCGTACTATTCATGACCATGAGAAGCTGGGAGTCCAAGTGGGGATGAGACACATGTTTTCTTTCCTGAGTTCAGGGTATCTGGATTTTGTCATACCCTAGGGCCCTAAGGGCCCAAGTACCCTAATAACGGGGCTTTAAATCTTAGATGTGAGAAGCCCGATTATGATGTCGGCGAGAGGTACTAGATCCCTTCATGATACCCCTGCAGCTGTTTGGACTAGCATCGTGCCCTTGGCATCCGCTAGTGCTAGTCTTGCCGGAATGCTTCGCATATGGCGAATGTCAGGGCAGGAGCTGCCTGCAGTTAGCATGGAGCAGATCTCGCATGTGGAGGACTTGAAGGCTTTACTGCGCAGTCTGCATGGTTTCCCGATGTGCATACAAAAGCTGCTGCACAAAGGAAACAGCTTGGACAATTCCACCAAGCTGGATGCACCCATCCACTTGCAATTAGTCCTCCTTTCCGCCGAGGTGCAGCAGCTTGAGGCTGCCAAAGAGCTTGCCGAGTCTTGCAGGAAAGGTGACCCGAAAGTCGTCCGGCTTCTGTTGGAACCTGGTGCCAGCAAGAACGCTGAGGATGACAAGGGCGACACACCCCTCAGGCTCACAGCTCGGAATGGCCACGTGGAGATCGCGCAGCTGCTTGTGGAAGCAGGTGCTGACAAGGATCTTCGCAGTCGCCTCGGCTGCACAGCCCTCATGTTTGGCTTTTGGAAGCAGGTGCGGACAAAGACGCACTGAATTCCTCTGGCACTACAGCCCTTATGCTGGCAGCTCAGGGAGGCCGCATGGAGATCGCCAGGCTGTTTTTAAAAGCAGGTGCTGACAAAGACCTGCAAGGTCACAACGGCCCCGGCACAGCTCTCATGTTTGCAGCCGAGAGAGGATACGTGGAGATAGCGAGCCTACTTTTTGAAGCAGGTGCGGACAAAGACATGCAGAATTCCTCTGGCTACACAGCCCTCGCGTTCGCAGCTAAGGAAGGCCACGTGGAGATCACACGGCTGCTTTTGGAAGCTGGTGCTGACAAAGACCTGGTGGGTCACTACGGCTACACAGCCCTCGCGCTCGCAGCTGTGAAAGGCCACGTGGAGATCACACGGCTGCTTTTGGAAGCTGGTGCTGACAAAGACCTGGTGGGTCACTACGGCTACACAGCCCTCGCGCTCGCAGCTAAGGAAGGCCACGTGGAGATCACACGGCTGCTTTTGGAAGCTGGTGCTGACAAAGACCTGCTGGGTCACTACGGCTACACAGCCCTCGCGCTCGCAGCTGTGAAAGGCCACGTGGAGATCACACGGCTGCTTTTGGAAGCTGGTGCTGACAAAGACCTGCAGGATGGCAATGGCCGTACAGCCCTCATGCATGCACGAGCAAAGGGCAACTATGAGGTTGCAACGTTGCTGTCGGCAAGGTTCGTAGGATGTCACAGGATCACCCAGGCAACCGGCGGCTCAAAAGGTTTGAGTCTAGTTTCAGTGGGCTTGTAAAAATAAAAGGCTTGGTAACAACTTAAATTTGGATCCTGGACCGTGGAATTCCTCCAATTCGTTCGGTGATGCGCCATAGACCTTGATACCTCCGAACAAATTGCACCTGCTATGTTGCTGCCTGAGGAATTACCAGCATCATGTCCTTATAACCTTTATGCTCAATAGGAGTTATGCAAGCTGTATACCTATGGTACGGTAGACCGCCAAACCTTACTCTGATCCTTTAGGCCACTACATTAAACGTTCAGGGGCCGGGCCCGGCACCAATGCGCTCAGCCCTGGCACCTTGCATTTGAGTAGTATTTTAGTTGGGGATACTCTAGCTAGTATCGGATAAGATGATATCCTTGTTCGGGGTATGGCATTTAATTTACATCCACAATATCATCTTACTTGCTTCATCCAAAAAACAACGTTAGTCGTTTGAGTACATTTGAGTACTGTTGCTTCCAAAATCATAAAAGCAAGGCCCTATACTCCCTCTAACATTTATAGAATATGAAGCATATCGCCTTAATTGCACACGTTGTAATGGTACCAATATTCACGGATTCAACGTCCCCGCCTCCCCCCACATCCGAATCCCTCAATCCAAACCCTTAACCGCAAGTTCCAAACCCTAAACCCTGAATCCTAAACCCTCTGATAATCCTGGAATTCCCAACCCTAAACCTCAAACCCTCCTAAGCCCCCTAAGCACTCCTGAGCGTACCCAAAGGGTCCATGTAGCTATATAGCATATACTTGGGCCCTAAAGTAATTATACGGGAACCCTGAAACCCTAAACCCTAAACACCATATGGGTAGTTGTCAAAATTATGGCCCTTTTTTGGGTCCCTATTATACTACGGCACCTAATATTTAGGGTACCCAGAAAGAGACCATAATTTTGACAACCACCCATATGCCTACCTACATGGACCCTTTGGGTTAGGCTCCGGGTCTGTTCCCAATCTCGAAGCCCGGCGCTGGGAGATCTCCTCTCGAGCCGGACCAAAGGCCCCCAGCTTTGAGAAGGGCAATTTAGGGTTTAGGGTTTAGGGTTAAGGGTTTAGGCTTTTTGGAGGCGTGTAGGGCTTAATTAGGGTTTAGGGCTTGGGGGTTCAGGGCCTATTGAGGTTCAAGATTTAGGGCTTAAGGTTTTGGGTTCAGGGCCTTCTGGAGCCTCTCAAGAAGGACGAGTGGGGGAGTAAATATATGGACGTACAATGGGGATATACATGGAGATGTTGCATGGATAGCTACTGGGATGAAGTAAAGGGGATTTGTTGATGGGTTCAGTGCTTGGGGCCCAGGATTCAGGGCCTATCGGGTTTGGACATGTTCGGAATGTAGGGAAGGGATATGAAGACTGATCGCTTTTCACAAGTTAGCTTATGTCTTTCCCGACTCCGAACCATTCCTTCCTACAAGCTCTAACTCCGTAGTGTGATGACCTACATCAGGAACATGCCCACTCTCAAACCTGATTCGCCGGCCCTGCACCTTCATACGCATTTGAGGGTTTCCCAAAATTAAGGGTACTGTTTTGGGGTCCTCATAATAAGGACTATAGTATTTTGGGTTCTATATAGGGGTCCCCCTTATTTTGGGAAACTACCATTCACTTGCACGCATACGCCCTCGAGCTAACTAAACCTCATGGCAGCTTCCGTTTTCTCTTCCGCTGCCCTTCAAGCACCAGTGAGAGAAGGACTAGTCGTCAAACCCCTCAACCTCACACCAGATGCATGTGACATTAGATATTGCAGTTGCTATATGGTAGCTTACCAAAATAGACCCCAAAATGCTATAGTCCTTATTATAGGGACCCCCAAAAAGGTACTCCTAATTCTGGGAAACTGCCATATATAGCCCCTTTAAAGGAACCTAAGAAACCTTAAGAACGCTTCCTTACCCTGAGGCTCTAACTATATAAATAATACCTACATTGGGCCCTAAACCCTATAAATAGTACCTACATGGAGCCTTAGGGTAAAGGTGCTTTCAAAACGCGAGGCCACGAGGTTGCTAACGGCCACGCCCAGAGCACCTCCCTGCCCTCGCTGCCCAGCGAAGCGCGGCCGGCGCCCGCAACTGGCCCACATATCCTAGGGATCCCGGGTTTAGGGTTTGGGGTCAAAAGTACTGCGGGGATCAAATAATACATAGGGTTTGGGGTTTAGGCTTTAGGGTTTGAGGTTTAGGGCTATTACCCCAAGAATGGAGAATCAAATGCTAAAGAGAATGGTCATGAAATGGAGAATGGGCTTAACAAGGGGCTATATGGGGATCCAAGTTTACAAATGATGTAGAGCCCTAGAGGTTGAAAAAAATAGCTACATTGGGCTATTTGGATCCCAGGGGGTGGCTGGACGTTTAGAATTATCTTGCTCCTTTCCTTGAGCCTGAAGCCTTCTACAACCCCTACAAAGTCTATAGTCCCCCTGAAGTAGATAGAGAATATGGGGCGTGTGGGGGTCTTATCATATTATAAGATACCCACGGCCATATTCTATCTACCTAAGGGGGACTATAGCCCTACAGAAGCCCTGTGCTAGACTCGACTAATAAGAATGGCTATCCTTGCACACTTCTTGCTCAAAACTAGGGAACCATAGATATTTGTGGGTCTAAGCGAGCTCAGTATAGAGCTGTGTAGTCTCTCGGATTCCTACAGCGTTAGCCTCCATTGTATCCCCTAAATAAAACATCCTGTCACATCCTTAACGCTCAGAATTCTCAGTACAGTACGTAATTTCATGTGCTGGAATGTTTAGACTCTAAACCGCCAAACCTGACCCTGGGGATCCAAATAGCCCAATGTAAGTAATATTTACGGACTTTAAGGCCCAATATGGGTAATATTTGTATACTTGGATCTCTTAGATGATGTGTATAAACCTGTAAACCTTCACCGTCAGCCCTAAACCCCAAATTCAAAATCCTGTCTTGTGTAACTTTGTCCTTAAAGCAACATGTAGAGATATCACAGATTTATGCACAAAGCCCTTTTTGTTAGGTACATGGGATAAACCTCAGCTAGCCCGATTATAGCGAGAATTCCCAAAATAAGCCTCTACTAGGGCCTAAAGGACTAAAGGGCTGACTAGGTCTCTGCCCCAAACCCTAAACCACATGGTTCTAAGGAGCCAGAGAAAGCTTCACCCTGCGCGGGCTCGAACGAGGAGGCGCTTTGGAGCCATGCCATGTCTCAACCCTCAAGGGTTTAGGGCTTGGAGTGTAGGGTTGAGGGTGTAGTAGCTTGGAGTGTAGTGGGCAGGGTCTAGGATTTTAGCTTTGGGGTGTAGGATCCAGCGTCTAGGGTTTAGTGTGTACGGTGGAGGGCTTGAGCTGTCCTTAAGCCAACTATGGGACCAAGTACTCAACTATAATTAGGTGTTTCAGTCGGTGCCAAAAACCGTTCATAATCACCCATAGATTGTAGGGTTGAAGGAGCGGTGCTAAAGAATAAGGGGTTAGAGGTTGAGGTTTAGGAGGTCGTGTTTGACTATCAGCGTTTAGGCAGCATCGGGTGTAGGGTTCTGGCGTTGCGCACATGGAAAGGTAAGTATTCTCAGGACTGATTTCGCAGTGCCCGTCATACCTACCCTGCTTCAACGTGCCCATCCGCGTGTTTAAGACTGCAGGGAACATGAGGGGGTTCAAAGTAAAGAAGAGTGGCAGGAGGCATCTAGCATTCAGTGCATACGTTTGACTCTCTGACCCCTATATAACCCTATTATAGTAGTTTCCATTTTGTTTTCCATTATCCCTATATAACCCCTATGTAATAAATTTGCAGCCGGAGACAGATGTTCTCAGGGGGTCAGGATGCTGCGCTAGGAGCGCGCTGGTTTTTAAAGCTGAGTGCTCAGGAGGAACTCGGGCACGTCAGGAGTGGGTATTTTTAGGGTAATTGCCATTATTGCGATTTTTACTGTCACTGTTATAATGCTTAATTCTTATGTTTACCGTTATCTAGTATCATCCTTGCTATCATTTGTCACTAGTACTTCCGTTACTACTCAGGGTGTGAGGTCAAACCGATGGTGTTTATCCCTATACTGCCTGCCAGCAGGCATGAAGGTACCATACTCAGGCCTGTTTCTTCGACAAACTGTGGCATTCGTAGGCCCCTTGTGGGGCATCATGTTCTTTAGTGGCAGGCGGTGTGGTTCAAGTGCCCTAAACCCAGAGGTAACGATTCCGCCTAGTCACAGCCTAGCCTGCTAGCCTGCTGGACAGTCATGTGCTATCCGTTGAGAGTTATTTTTTGCTTACCTGTGCTAAGCAGAGTATGAAGAAAGGAACAAGAAGGAAGCTACCATATTCTTGGCTGTTATACAGGACAACTAGAAGAAATTTCGCCTTCATTCCTTGTGCCTGATTTCTGCTCTGGGGCCTCGGCGCCCATACCAACTGCCTGTAGTCGGAAGAATGCATGATTTACCCTCTCCGAGACCCCATGTGATAGCTCGTTTGTTAAGGACATTAGTTTGTATACGGCGCTGTTGGGGATTCCATGTGAGTTGGAGGGTGGGCACAGGGTTTGCCGCATGTTACCAACCTCAGACAATGCCACCCCAAACCACAACCTTAGCTACCGCATTCTTGATTTCAAACTTTCTGAAAGATGTGGACGTTTGCTTGGGCGCGTGGGAGCCTGAAAGCGAGCCCGTTCAAGCGGACATTTGCCACGAATGGTTCTTTTCAGTTTCCATTTTAGTGTAGGGCGGGTAGCACTTCTTAACCCACCTCTTGAACCTTGACGTTTGAGTTTCCCCTAAACCCTCCAAGCCTTATAGTCCCCCTTAAGTAGATAGAACATGGCTTTGGGTATACTATAATAAGATCCCCATATACCCCATATTCTATCTACTTAAGGGGGACTGTAACCCCTAACCCTAAAAGCGCCCTAGACATCCCTAGACCCTCCCCTAAACTCCCCATCCAGCCCCCCGAGACATTGTGCCCAAATTCTAAAACCGCACAACATAAACGCCTGAACCCGCAAGCCCTATGGTATAGACGCCCGAACCAAAAAATGTAAAAGACCAAAGCCCCTAAACTCTGAATCCCAATGCCGACACCCTTACCTGAACATGTCGAATAATCGTTTGTTTTTACTACTTGTAGCGGTCCCGCAAAATCTCCACCAGGAGGTGGGTGATCTTCCCTGGTTTCAAGCCATGAAAGCCAACCTCGAGGCTCCTTTCGCTGCCTCGAAAGCCTAAACCGTAACCCCCAACCCAACTGTGGCGTGTAGGGTTTAGGGCCGTTTAGGGTGTATACTTGAAGCCCCAAAAACCTACAGCTTCATATGGGTTATGCCCGCTAATTCTGGGGTAGATACTACTAAGCAGTGGGTCATTGGGGTTATAAACCCTAAACCCTTAACCCTAAACCCCTAAACCCTAAACCCCATAGGTAGGGTTTGGGGTTCTGGGTTCGGAGTGCTGGGTTCAGAGGGACAAAGGGGATGAGGAAGGAAGGAAGGGGAATGAGGGAAGGGGTTCAGGTTCAGGGTTTAGGGTGCATACGAACAAGGAATGAGTTTGGGGTTTAGGGTGTAAGGTTCAGGGAAAAAGAAGGGGGTTATCTTGTTTTTTGATGATGTGTAGTTTATCTTGGGGTAAGCCAGGGAGCACAAGATTCAGTTTCGCAGGTGCAGGGGCTTCTGACTATACATTGAGCGATAACCATCTGCGTGCATCATGCGTTCCCCTAACACCCGCACAATATGACCCCCTAGGTTCCCCTCCCTCTTACTGTAATTTGAGTCATTTTGGGATATTAACCCTGGGGCTCCATGTCTATAAATAATGCCTACATTGGGCCCCAATGTCTATAAATAGTACCTACATTGGGTTATTTGGAGCCCTAGGGTGATGGCTATCTAAATTAAGGGGGGGCCGGGTGGGGGGGGGGGTGTAGTATGGGGGGGTGGTACCGGAACCCATGAAGACGGGATTGCTGGGAGCCGGGATCCCCGCTCGTATGATGTACTGCTTCTTAGTAGGGAAGAAGGGACTACAATCCATATGAGCTGTAATCTAAACTCCGTAAAGGGGGTGTATATAGGGATTATATAAGGGACTACTATAGGGGTTATTAAGGGGGATACTAGGAGTTTAGACAATGGCTCATATAACCCCTATATAATATATCCCTTTATTCCCTACTAGGAACCAGTAAGATGATTTGTGGAGCCTGAGTTGCGATATGGGCCATATCTTTTACTATATGAGCTCTACGATAGCCTGAACTCCTTAGAGGGGGGTTATGCAGGGGATTACATAGGGGAGTATTATGGGGTTTACAAGGGGAATATTAGGAGTTTAGACTATAGCCTATACGTGGTAGTTTCCGTAAATAGTGGGACCCCAATCCAGACATCCAAATAGTATCATCCTTATTATAGAGACCCTCAAAAGGTACCGCTAATTTTGGGGCACTCCCCTATATCCATGTTCTGGTGGCCCAGTTTAAGTTTCAACAGCGACCCAGAGGCTGCCTCACAATGGGTCCTTGATGATGGAGATGTAGCTGGAAGAGTCAGATTTGTCTACACACTGGCAACGAAACATGGGAAAGGTGCTTAGTCCGAGGACACCCAAGAGCGAAACAATCGGCTATCATGATTGAATATCAACCATGCAAAGAGTTGCAATAAGCTTTGCCGATCTCATATCAGGGCTATCTTTTGCTCCTTTCGATGTCCTTATTCCAGACGACTCGTGGCACTGTACCCCTCCCCAAACTCGAAGGCCGAAAGCTCCTAAGTCCAAACCATGTCCGAACCCAAAGTGTACCCCAAAGCTGAAAAGGAAAAAAGCCTTAAACCATAAATCCTATAAACCCTAAAGCCAAAAGCCCAAGCCCTGTAAGCTGCAGGCTACCTAAAAAATCAGGCTGTAGGTCCCAAATGCCATGACCTGAAAGGTTATTTGGGGGTGGTTTCCCAAAATTAGGGGTACCCTGTTTAGGGGTCCCAATGACAAGGACTATGGTATGTGGGGCTCTATATTGGGGTCCCCCTGTTTAGGGAAACTAGCATTTGTCCCCCAACATTTGCATATTGGGGTACTTGGGCCCTAGGGAAAGACTGCTGCAGGAGTTCGGGGATGTGGAGGTTTTCCTGGACCAGCAGCCGCAGGCAAGGACTTTGTGCAAGATCTCGAGGTCCAATATCCAGTACAGTCCACTTACAGACACCCAAAGGGCCCATGTCTATATTTATATATATATATACGTAGTCTATACTGGGTTCCTTATGTAATTCGATTGTAGCCCCTTTTCGCCCTGGGTATAGGGTTTAGGGTCTGTAAAGAGTACCTGCTTCGGGCTCTTTGGATGCTTATAGAGCTTAAACAGCCTGAATCCCGTGATCGGTCCTACGCCCGTAGCCCTAAGCCCCAACACCCTAAGTCTGTAAGTCCAGAACACTCAACACCTAAATCCCTAAGCCCTAAACCCCTTAACCCCTGATGCCTCAACCCGAAACCCCCAAGCACCATATAACACCTCTACACCGTTCTAAGATATCCCTATATAACCCCTTTTAAGGGTGCTTAAACAACCCTGAACCCTGAACCCTAACCCCTAAATCCTACCTGGACCCCCAAAAGTATGTAAAATAATGGCCTTTACGGCTATTATTATCGGGGTTTAGGGCTATTATCTTGCATGCTTTTGGGGTTTAGGTAAGCCCTAACCGCGTAAAACCAGTTTCAGGAATGCATGAGCTGCTGTCAACCCATCGAAGCTGCCTACCGAGCTCGGCCTCGGAAATGCAACCACGCACCCCCTCAGAAAGGGTTTTGGGGGGTTTAGGGGTTTAGGATTTAGGGTTTGGGGGTTTGGGTTAGGGTTTGGGGTTAGGGTTTAGGGTTTTGGGGGGTTTAGGGGTTTAGGATTTTAGGATTTAGGGTTTGGGGGGTTAGGGTTTGGGGTCATATAGGTTTAGGGTTTTGGGGGATTTTTGGGTTTAGGGTTTAACCCCCTCTGCATAAAGAATGGGAAGCCCTGGGGCTCCATGTCCATAAATAATGCCTACATTGGGCCCCAATGTCTATAAATAGAACCTACATTGGGCTATTTGGAGCCCTAGGGACATGTTCCCCCTCTGAAAGGGATTAGGGGTTTAGGGGTTTAGATTTAGGGTTTGGGGTTTAGGATTTGGGGTCATATAGGTTTAGGGCTTTAGGGTTTTTAGGGTTTAGGGTTTAGGGCTTACCCTATAGGGAATGCACGTAGTATTTACAGACGTCAGGGCCCAATGTAGGTATTATTTGTATACTTGGATCCTTAGGGTTAGGTTCTGGGTCTTAGGGTTCAGTGTTTGGGCTTTGAGGGGGCTAGGTTTTCATGTGTAAGGTTTTGCTGTGGGGTCCAGAGGTTAGGGCCAGGTACTTCTCTGGGATGATATAAGGATCATAGGGGATTATCACAGGAGTGCTATGGTCTTAAGCAGTTTGCCAACACCTGAAGGAAAGGACTTACAGTATGGCCTTGATATAAGAGGGTCCTTATCCTAGGGTTTGGGGTTGCACAAAACCTCCTATTGCTTAAAACTTTCTTCTCGTTATTATTGCGGGTTCTATATTTCGTAGGGCTTAAGGTTTAGGGTTACGTATGGGGCTACTAATGGGCCCTGCATTCCCTACTCTCAACTAGCCAGTCTTACAACTTGTTGGATTGCAGCGGCTTAAGGCTGTTTTGAGAGTCATGGTTTGAGGGGTTAGAGTTTAGGGTGGAGGGTTCAGGGGTTTAGGGTTTAGGAGGGCGTAGGATGTGGGCTTCACAGTTCAGAGATTGAGATTATTACCTCTGGGGTTTAGGGTAAAGAGCAGAAGGATCCAACTCAACCCTGAACCTTAAACCACGAGTTATGCCCCCTAATAGCCCCTAGGACCCTAGGAGTTAAGACTGTAGCTCATGTGGAGCGGTTTGACCCCACAAAGCTACCTAGACCCTGATACCCTGCAGGAGGGTGTAAGGGTCTAGGCACTGAGGTATTTCCTTGTTATAAGGACCGCCAAAAAATGAGACTGCTTTTTCATGAAACCCTAACAGTGTCCCCCGAAACCATTGAATCTGCAGATGGATAAGAGGCGCTTCAGAATAAACTAAAAATCCCTAACATATGCACTGAGGTATCCCATGGTATTTCCTTATTACAAGGATCCCCAAATGGTAACACTAACTTTTTGGTAACCCTAAACCCTAAATACCATAAATCCCTATAATGCGCACTGAGGTATTCCATGTGGAGTGTTTGCTTCACTGCTGGAGCGAAGGCGTCTGTCCAGTCTGCGGGGTATCTTTCGCTCCGGAGGCAACGTGGGCTTGGGGTGGGGTTTCGGGTTTAGGGTTTGGGGTTTAGGTTTGCGGCTTGGGGTTTAAGGTAAAGGGTCTAGGGTTCTATGGGGGATGAAAATGGGAGTAGTATTGGGCTCATGAAGGCGGATCTTAGGAGTTTAGATTATGTACTTGCTGAAAGTTTACTGGGTACCTGGACCTGTCAAATACTCGTAAGAATAGCCCGCATACGCAGTGTTTTGGGGTTGAGGCCTATTATTGTGGGCATTGGGAAGGTCGGGGTAGTTAGAAGTGGTTTTGTATGTACCCTAATCTCCATGGCCTCATGTACAGAGTCCTCATATCCTAAATCCTAAAGCCTAAGCCCTCAAAGCTTCCCCATTTGTGTGGGCCCTGAAACTCTCGCCCTAAGACCTTGAAGCCGAAAATCCAAAAGCCTTGAACACCAACCTCGGAATAATACAGGCTTGAAGGCAAACCAAAATCGCCACCACCATAAACTCCTACCCTAAACCCTAAACCCTAAACCGCGTGAATGAGATAGAAACCTGCAGAAGCAGCCAGCCCTTTTGGTAATTGTTATAGACGCACCCCTTTTTTTCCTGTATACAGCCATTGTACAATCCCAGTCTGTTTATCATTGTTCATTTATGTCCATTTGGTTCTTCAGTTTGGGGCTAAAAATTCCTAAGCCCTATATCACCTTATGGATACAACTCTATATAATCCTGAGTTCAGGGCCCTAAATTATCCCTTTTCCTTACACAGGCCACACCCGCCAAAGCTCCTCGAGGAGCCTGGACATGACGCGGGCCAGAAAAAAGAGGGATGTTGGGACAGCCTAGGGTCAGTGTAGGTCCCAATGAAGCGGGAATGTAGGGGCCCAAAGAGGGGGCTGTAGAGGGATTCGTTTGGAATTCTATATGGTTAGGGTTAGGGATATCACGCCAATCATACGGAAAATCATCTCTATGGTGGATGACCCATTGGAACATGACGTGAGATCCTTGGAGTTGTGTAGCTGGCATGCGCAGAACAGAGTAAGTAGCAACTGCCACGAATCTGATGGCTTTCTTTGGGTCAGGGGGACTTAGTGAGTATTATAACCCCTGTAAGCCAGATAGTAACCCCATCATTAACTTACTAAATCCCCCTGTCCCTCCAAGTGTTCCAGGCTTTACATGGAGGTGGAAGCACAAGCCACTGCCGCGGGCATTGAAATTTGACCCAGCTGTCTAGCATACATGGTAGTCCCCAATATAGACCCCAATATATTACAATCCTCAATAGTCGGACCCCCGCAATGGTACCCCAAATTTTAGGAAGCCCCATATCCTCTAAAAGGTCAGGAGGCCAGGCGCAGATAACAAGTTGTGTGCTTTTGTGCACAGCTTATGGAAAGTGCCTTTACGTAGATCTTGTGGAAAGTGGTAATGTTCTGTCTGAGCCAAGAGAATAGTGGAATGCTCCCGCACGCGGAGCGATCCAATCATGCTGCCATCATGGTTTGTTCTTTCAGGTCAGTCACCCCACACTTCGGAGGGTCTGGGGGCTTAGAAAGGATACCTATGGCCCCTGAGAGCCATATAATGAACCCGACTGTCCCATTTTTATCCTACTTACTAAGCAGTACCCAAACACTAAGGGGTCAGGTGCCAAAAAACATTTAGATAAACTTGCTGGGACCTAAATCTCGTTCATTCGTGTACGTGGTCTCCTGGCCATAAACCTTGGACCCCTAACCTTCCCTAGAAGCCCAGTTACCTACATATTGGGTTCCTGTCCTTAAGTCCCTATATAAATCTATACTATCTATAACCCAAGGACCTACTATATGGGTACCTGGGCTTCTAGGGCTTGATCCGTTACCCCGCTTGGGCCCTAAGACCGAAAGTAAGTAAAAGAGTGGGTTGCTGTTGAGGAACTTAACTTCATTTATTCTGGTAACTTTATTAAAGCTCCTTAACAGCAACCCAGAAGCCTAAACCCTAAACCCCAAATGGGCCCTTAAGCCTGAGACCTGTAAGTGTGAAAAGTAGAGCGCCAATGTATGTAGAATAATGCCCTTTTGGGCTATATTCGGGCGTGTTTGGCTATTATTTTTCTCTTTCTTGTGTGTTCAGGTACCCTAAACCCTAAGCCCGAAGAAGAGGTACAAGCTCGAGGTTTGTCCGGAGGCAGCAACAGCACTGGAAAGCATGGGACAGCACCAGCCTCAGATCAGTGAGGATAAGATTGAGGGTTTTGTTTGGGGTTTCGGGTTCAGGGTGGATGGTGTTGATGGTCTAGGAGGTACCTGGACTGGACTTCCCAAATACCCATAAGAATAGCCCATTTGCCCATTATTTTGGGGTCGAGGGCTAGCATTTTGGGTATTTGGGAGGTCCAGGTAGAGTTCAGGGTTTGGAGTTTAAGTTTGGATTTATGCATAGAGGTTTAGGTCTTAGGGGGCCGAGGGTTTCGGATTAAGGGATGATGGGGGTTAAACGGCTGTACCTTCCCCCACGGCCAAGTTTGTGGTCAATGGTCCCCTAAACCTCGGCATTTGAGGCTGCTTGGACCCTCAGACCTTCTTTATCAGAGTGACACAGGTTTCAAAGGCTTAGGGTCTAGGGCTTTCTGGGAAGGATACGGGTCGGCTAGCATGAAGCTGTTGAAGATTTATGTGTCGTATCCAATAAGCTGCCATCCAGGATTCACTGGGACTTGACGCCTATGTATGTGCTTTGAGGTAAGGGTTTAGGGGGACAGGTTCCTGCGACCTACATTATCCATAGTTACTAAACCTATAAACCCTAAACCCTATAAACCCCTAAGTATTGGTTACTGCCCTATGTCAGTAGTAGTAATAGTTGGATGCAAGTATCATGCCAGTTACCAAATAAAAACCTTTAATGCTGCACTATATGTTTAAAGCCATATTATAGCGAGGCCACAGAAGAGAGTTCATAATTATGACAACCTTCCATATCCATCAGTTTCCAAGGAATCAGTAGCCTTCATCTTGTATTTCTCGAATATACCTCTCACCCCAGGTACGTGGACCCTTAGGGCATGCTTAGGCCTTGAGGAAGTATGCAAGTAGTAACCAATCTATGTTATGACCTACTTTCCTCAATGGGGGATTATGTAGGGATTCTATAGGGGAGTATGATCGGGCTTCTGAAGGGGGATACTTGGATTTTAGACTATGGCTCATCTGTGTCTAACATATGTACCCTATTGGTACTTGGCCTGGACCCTCAGGTATATCAGAGCGTAGGTTCATATTGCCCTGCTTCCCCATACCCTAGACCTCTCAATCAGTTCTGTTCGCACTTGGCCACTGTAAGCGGATTTCATTTTGTAACTTCATGAGAGACTTTGCGGTGGTTCAGTTCAACCGTTTGTCCCTACAAGCTAAACTAAACTTTCCGGAAGGCATGTTGATGCTTTCCGGGTCCTTAGTTTGAAAGCCCCGCAATAAGGTACCTGTAGTGGTTTGTGCCCATGGAAGCTAATGTACAAGCCTGACGAAATGGGGAAACTTTTTGTAGTCGCATACTCGAATCAACCAACACCTTATTCCAAGCATTTAGGTCCCTACAGTTGCGGGCTCCTCGCTCCTGCTGAGTGGGATAGAAAGCAGAGCAGACCAGCCCCAATCAGACTTGAGTTGTCCTTTCTCCAGTCATTCATTAATCTAAGGGTCCAAGGACCCATATATTCAGGTTCTTCACTTCAATATTAATGGTGTTGGGGCTCTAAAATCCCATTATTGGGATCCTTGGACCCTAGGGTTATCTTTATCAAAGGTTCCACATAGTCACCATATACCCCTCTGGTCACTATATGCCCCTTGCTTTAAACCTGCATATCCCTGTGTGAACCCCTTTAAAGGAACTTAGGGGCACCAGCCAATTCGAGAAACCCCATGAGTGCTTCGACATTCCCCCGGGGACCGCTAAGGCCCAAACAAGTTTGAATCCTAGTGTAAATGTAGAAACTCTGACATTAGGGACCTCAACCTCAGAAGCAGGTAAAATGATGGCCCCATACCATGGCAAGATCCCCAATAGCCAGAATTCCACATATGTATACCGTTTCATTCAATGGTTACTGTGACAAGACCTCAGGCGGGGTGTCGTCGCGCGGCTCTTAGCATGGGATTTGGTGGTAGAGGGTTCAGGATTAGGGTTGGAAGGATGGAGTTTCAGGGCTAGGGGTGAACCTTCGAAGCCGGATCGTATGCCCCCAACAACACCGTCAAACAACTACGAGCGCGACCGAAAATCATCAAGCCACAACACCTACAAGCGCTACAACCGAAACTCTAGACCCTGTCCCGAAGCTCATCAAAGCCCTGCCCGTCCTGAAACCTTTCGGGCTCATCTGGTCTGCAATGTTGTCCTGTCTTGTGATATTTAATTCTGGTGAGCCATGCTGCTTTGTGCGTCCATGTCTTGAACTGGTGGTTTACCAAATCATTTCTTAGAATTCAGGAAGGTCAGACTTTAACTCATGTCCCTAGGAGCATCCTGCTTCTGCCCTCCCGCTCCGGCAACGACTCCTTCAGTTGCTGCTGATGCTGCCGCTGCCTCTAGCTTTGCCACGGTTGCTCCTGTGCTGTCACCAACTACTCTTTCTACTTCTGTCTCCTGCTCTACCTCAAAAACTGTTGCAATTCTTATGATTGTGTTCACCTTCGGCAGGCGCATGTTGAGAGTTGAAATCCAGGCCCGGATTCCATAGGATCCTTGAAGCTAGTGGCTTAGGGAGCTTTTGTTGTGCCAGCAGTTATTCGTAGTATGGTTCCGGCAGAATCAGCAATACAGCTGTCTGCAGAGAGGACGTGTAATCCGTAGACCCTCAACCATAACTTAAGGGATCCAAATCGCGCAATGTCGGTACTATTCACAGACTTCAGGGCCCAATGTAGGTACTATTTGTATGCTTGGACAGTTTATTACAACATAGTATCGTATACTATAGTAGGTTCTAATATACCAGAATATACTATAAGTAGTCTGTGGATTTGGTTGAGGCCATTGCCCTGTGCGGAACCTGTCAGAGCGGAAAGACGTATCTGCGCCGTGCTCAGCACAACAGGGTCAGAGCAAAAGCATGCTGTAGAAGCCTTAATAATACGCGGTTTAGGGTTTAGGGATTTTACCCTGTTACTTATACTCCAATAATTGCCGACATTATCCCCTTATATTCCAATAGCTACCGACATTATCCCCTTATACTCCAATAATTACCAAGATTATCCCCGCATACTCCAATAGTCATTGACATTATCCCCTTATGTTCGAATAAATGTCCTATATTATTCCCTTATACTCAAAAATACTATGCCCAGAAACCAGATTCTGATTAGAAAGGCACCTGTATTGCACATTTGCAAGCGTTTCCCACTAATTCCTTCATGTGCGAGTAATTGCATGTGCTATGTTAATATGTCTACTTGTAAAGATACTCTGCGTAGTATGCTCTGCAGGCTAGAGCCCTAAACCCTAGACCCCACCTACATCCGCCCACATCCGCCTTTGTGTACCCCTATGCCTCTACAGCCCAATATCCTCTGCTTGGACTTACCTTGACCTCCAAAATGCGTATAATAATGTCCTTTACTCCTCCAGAACGTGGGCATGTAGGCTATCGTTATGGGATATTGTAACCCTTGAGTAGCTGATGGGATATTATGGGTACTATAACAGTGGTCCTTACCCCCAAAATTATGGGTATGTAGGCTATGATTATGGGTACCTGGGAGGTCTAGCTAAGGCGTTGTGACCCTACCAGCCCCTGGGGCTTTGGTTCGAATGCATTTTATGCACATCGGATCTCCCTGCTTTTGAATACCGAAAACATAATTTAGGTGGACCCCCCACTCTGAAATGGCGACTATAAGGGATCAGAAAAGTTGTATTAGGGTCCTACTACATTTCTGTGATACTACTATTGCAGGGTCGGGGTTCCTCCTAGAACATAACACTGATAGCATCCTCAGCAGAAGGGTCCAAGTACCAAAATATTGCAGGCTCTAGGTTCCCAAAAACCATTTCGATTGTAGTGTTCGGGTCCTAACACCTCGACATTTTGGCACGTGGACCCTTAGAGAATTTGACCTCCAGCCTACAAGCCCCGGCTACTACTACGGTGGAGACTAAAAATCTTGCATGGCCCTAGGTTCTTATACCTTGGGAATTATGGTACTACGGTTTTGTCATGCAAAATTGTTAGCATCAACAGTAGGGTTTAGGATTTGGTGCCTGCTCCGGCCTTTGGGCGACGAACATGGAATCAAGGATCTAGTTTCGTTTCAGCAAATCTTGATCAGCCGCTCAGGGTTTGGGGTTTAGGGTATCAGCCCTTGAAATTCAGAGGACATTAGCTTCTCCAGGGCTCATGGTCTGTGTAAAAGCAGAGTGTACACCCAACGAGCGCCAGACACGACCCTAAGTCTCTGGCCCGATCCTAAGGGTCCCAAGCAAGTGCCTTTAAACTGGGTTGCTGTTAGGGAACCATAATGGGTATGTCTAGTAATCAATATGGTTTCCCCAACATAGTGAATTAATTCAGCTCGCTAACAACAAACCAGTCTAAGCCTATGTTGGATGTATTGTTTGCTGGGGTTACACGTGCCTGCATATCTATTGGAGCCTGGAACGATTCCCTTACCCAAGCAGCCGACCGAATGTATAGGGCACTTTTTCAAGAGACGGGACTGCTTGTAGGCCTCCTGCTGGGGTTCCAGGCTTGTGAGGACTGGAGGCAGGTAGGACCATTTTCCATCCAGACTGCCAGGCCCACTGAATCCAACCAGGTACGAAGTTTTCCAAACCGGTTTCGCAAACTTCATGCTGAATGGACCCCTAGTCCGGAAGAACTACACGCTGGCCACGCATTCAGCCCAAATGAAAGGGCAAACCATCTGCTGGACCGTCCGCAGCAAGGTTTGCCAGCAGCTGCCCCAGCTGAGTTAGAAGGTTCAAATTCCTGAGATTTAGAATACCCGGTGAGGAAAACTTGACTTCTTGCCTGTGCTGCTATGTGGACCTTAGTCGTGAACACACTGCTTGTCAAGCAGTGTGTTGCGGAGATGCGCTGTTATATTGGCAGACAGAGTTCCAAGGGTAGCCTGACTTTTCGGTGCTTTGCCACGTCGCGTGCGGGCAGAGCTATTGTTGACTGTTTTGGCGAAGCGACATGTTATAATCTCAGGCAATCCTGTTGTCCACATTAGCCCTCATTACATGGAAGCCCCTTCCCCAAGCAACAAAACTCATCAACACCCACCTGAGAATCTAGGCTGAAAGGCGCCTTGCTCTTTGCTGACGAGAGGTCGCATGGGATGTTAACACAATATGATATTCATTATCCCTCACTACTAGCAGTTGGACTACAGGTATGGTTTGAGTGTATATAGTCCTTATATACTGCCCCTGGTATACATTGCTACTGGGTGGGGGCAGTACCCAAGACTTACCACAGAACATCAAGGGCCGTGTATAATAATGGCCCCAAGTACTCAGATTCCTCTCGCAGCAACAGACCCCAAATCTGACATATACCCTTACAGAAAGACATAATTTGGACTATGGTTGACTTATTTGTGCTTCGGGTTTCAACTTAATGAAGCATTTTTCCTACATGCTAGGGTTTAGTGTGTAGGGTTAAAGGCGTTTAGAGATTTCATCGGTGTAAGGCTGCCGGTGAGCTTTAAGACCAACCCCCTTGACTTGGAGAAATCTGACGCCTAAACGCGTATCAGCTGTGCGTGCCTTGGCATTTCAATATGCCATGAGGAAGCTTTAGATGCTTCAATGTTTCGTCGATTTCTATTTGTCGCCATTGTAGCATCACACTACATCCTACTCATAGGCCTCGTACTTATGTTTGCTTCGGCCTTGTGGCATACACTCAAATGCCCTGCTGAAGTTTTCAACCTGAAACCTCAGACTATTTAGAAGCCGTAATGAGTAGTAGTTCAATCCCCTTCTTAACCCCTTCTGTGACAGCAGCAGCCAGCTGCATTACACCTGGCTCCAAGGTACTTCAGGTTGGAGGAAGCCTGTGGTCAACCACACGAACGGAAGGCCGGGTTTAAGCTCTTGGGCTATCTGACCTTGGTCAGCGTGGAATGGGGGAATGGAAAAGAAAATGGCAACTACTATAATGGGTTATATAGGGACTACTACAAGGATCCATTCATTCATTCCTAGAAAGCCAAATGTAAGTTATAGGTAGGTTGAGGGTTTAGGGTTAGAGTAGAGTTCAGGGTCTATCGGGTGTATAGGATTTGGGGTAGGGTTCAGGGTTCAGGGTTTATAGGATTTGGGTAGGGTTCCAAAGATTCTAAGTTTGCAGGTAAAAGTAAGCGTGTAGCTCCAGACAGCTACAAATTAGGATGAACTTGGGTAGTTGAGGTTGAAGGTGCCTTTAGGGTTCAAGGCTCAGGGTTTGTCCAGAATTTAAAGAGCAAACTCTGGCCACTACTCCGCAGCAGCGGCAGGAGCAGGAGCAGTCATTTTTAGCAGCGGTTGGAGTTTAGTAGCTGCAGCAGTGAGCGAAGTAACGATGTCAGTATCGCAAGTAGTCCTGCCTGGACTGGTGTTCCTAAGAGTACGGAACATAGTGCCATAGTCCTTGCAGTGCGGAGCGAAAAAGGTTTCAGGCTTGCAACTGCAGCGTTTGCCTTCATTCTAATGTAGTATGCTTGCCATAAACAGGAGGACCCCCCAATACAGACTGCAGGTTTGTTATTGTAACCTTTTGTATGAGGCCTCCTAAAAAGCCCCTGATTTTTGGAACCCCCCATGTAGCCACCTTTTGCAACCCTTCACAAGCATTCTTCCAGACCCTGAATAGTTCATCTGTAGAGCAGCTTCAAACGATTGCTCTTTCATCTTCAAAACATCCAAAGGTCTCCCAAATGCAAGACCTATGTCCTGAATCTCCAAACTTCACGGTCAGGGAATTAGGGTTCTGCCCCCGAACCATAGACACTGCACAATTTGCTCATGTAAGTCGCCCAAACTGTCAGGTGTCTGGCTATGGGCAGGTGGAGCAGATAAAGATGACAGGAGACGTCCTTGGGGTTCAAGCATTTTGGGGTGTTCGCCTGTAGCCCCAATTACCTACGGGTTACCAGCAACTACCCGATAACTTATGAAGGCAAAGGCGATTATCACGGCCTGCGGTACCTTAGATAGATGTCAATGGGTTTGAGCTGAGCAGATGGTTCAGTTGATTTGGTTCAGAAACCTGCATGACTACGATGAATAGCCTTGAACATGCATAGCAGCTGTAAACCAGCATCTTCAACCTTCATACTCCGTTAGTCCAATCCTAGCCTTAGAACAGAGCTTCGTCACATGCTGAATTTCAAGTAATTCTTACCCTAGTTGTTGTATCAGCACGTTTGGGGACTTAGTAAAAGGTCCTTTTCATTGGGATGGGACATGAGGTGATAAGTTGGGAAATTAACCTAACGCAGACCCTCTAAGGCAACTATGTACCGGAGGGAAGCTCCGACTTGAAGACCTTACATTATCCTCATGTCTTCCCCATAACGATACATGGGCCTCACAGACCCCTTTAACAAAATTCCCGCGTGCGGACCGTCTTTCCTGAAGTTCCCTTTAACTCTCGCAAACCCTGATCCACAAGCGCTACACACCGAAGCCAAGTTCAAAGATCAGAACCATGGACTTGCTAACACGAGCCCTACCCGCTTCCTGGATCCTAACTATGGGCTGTGAATTGGGTTTCTAGGGTTGCATTGAGTGTGTACTGGCTATATCAAGATCCCAGGTTTCAGGACCCATGCTAGGGGCCGCTAGTTCTAACCTTAGACCCTGAAGCCTAATATACCCTAAACCCCAAATCCTTATACCCTAAACCCTATATCCTTATACTCTAAACTCTGAATCCTAAACCCCAAGCACTAGCTGGGGGTCCCTTGGGGATCTACCTCAGGATAAGCTTAAGGAACTTAAACTAAGTTACTATAATGGGTATATGTAGTAACTAATATGGCTTCCCCAATACAACTTGAATTAAGTTCCCTAAGCCCTAAACCTTAACCCTAAAAAGTTTTCGGAGCCTAGGGGTCGGCTCTTGTCAGGAGCCCTGTTATTCTGCTCCTGGACTGCGAGGTCGCCGCTTGGGGACCTTTAGGTTGAGGGTTTTTTGGGGCCTTGGGGGCCTTAGGGTTCAGGGTTTAGGGTTTAGGGAGGGTTCAGGGCTTCAGGGATTTAGGGTGCAGGTTTTAGGGTCCTAGTAGGGAATTATAGGGTCTAATAGCCCGTCATGGTTGGGGGCCTTAGGGTTCAGGGCTTCAGGGATTTACGGTGCAAGGTTTTAGGGATTTAGCGCAGAGGATTAGGGCTTCAGGGCTTCAGGGAAATTTAGGGTTCAGGGTTTAGGGTCAGGGGGTCTAGGGTTGATCATTTCGGTCAGCAGATTATATGGGGGCCGTCCTAAAACCCTTGTTTACATTTTATATAAAGCCGAAACATGTGAGAAGCAAAATCAGTGCTTTTCTGTGGTCGCGAAAGATGCGCGAAAGCACGGCGAAAGGGCCGGCGAAAGGGTAATATAATCTGTGTCAGCATAGATGCTTTTATCG